GCCTCAGAATCATGGTGGGAGACCAAAGGCACTTCTTACATGGCAGTGGCAAGAGAAATGAGGAAATGCCAAAGCAGAAACCCCTGATAAAACCATCAGATCTTGTGAGACTTATTCACTACCACAAGAACAGTATGGGGAAACCACCCCCATAATTCAAATTATCTCCCACTGAGTCCCTCCCACAACACGTGGGAATTATGGGAGTACAATTCAAGATGAGATTTGAGTGAGGACACAGAGCCAAACCATATCATTCCATTCCTGCCCCCTCCAAATCTCATGTCCTCACATTTCAAAACCAATCATGCCTTCCCAACAGTTCCCCAAAGTTTTAACTCATTTTAGGATTAACCCAAAATTCCACAGTTCAAAGTCTCATTTGAGACAAGGCAAGTTCCTTCTGCGTATGAGTCTGTAAAATCAAAAGCAAGCTAGTTACTTCCTAGGTACAATGAGGGTGCAGGTATTGGGTAAATACAGCCATTCCAAATGGGAGAAATTGGCCAAAACAAAGGGGTTACAGGGCCCACGCAAGTCCAAAATTCAGCAGGTCAGTCAAATTTTAAAGCTCCAAAATTATCTCCTTTGACTCCAGGTCTCATATCTAGGTCATGCTGATGCAAGAGGTGGGTTCCCATAATCTTGGGCAGCTCCAGCCCTGTGGCTTTGCAGGGTACAGCCTCCCTCCTGGCTGCTTTCACAGGCTGGCATTGAATGTCTGCAACTTTTCCAGGCACACAGTGCAAGGTGTAGGTGGATCTACCATTCTGGGGTCTGGAGGACGGTGGCCCTCTTCTTACAGCTCCACTAGGTGGCACCCCAGTATGGACTGTGTAGGAGCTCCAACCCCACATTTCCCTTCTACACTGCCCTAGCAGTGGTTCTCCATGAGGTCCCCGCCTCTGCAGCAGCAAACTTCTGCCTGGACATCCAGGCATCCATACATCTTCTGAAATCTAGGCGGAGGTTCCCAAACCTCAATTATTGACTTCTGTGCACCTGCAGGCTCAATGCCACATGGAAACTGCCAAGGCTTGGGGCTTGCACCCTCTGAAGTCACTGCACAAACTCTAAGTTGGCCCCTTTCAGCTATGACTGGAGCAGCTGAGAAGCAGGGCACCAAGTCCCTAGGCTGCACACAGCATGGGTACTCTGGGCCTTGCCCACAAAACCATTTTTTCCTGCTAGACCTCTGGGTCTGTAATGGGAGAGGCTGCCACAAAGGTCTCTGACATGCCCTGGTGACACTTTCCCCATTGTCTTGTGGATTAACATTTGGCTCCTCGTTACTCATGAAAATATCTGCAGCCAGCTTGAATTTCTCCTCAGAAAATGGGATTTTCTTTTCTATTGCATTGTCAGGCTGCAAATTTTCCGAACTTTTATGTTCTGCTTCCCTTTCAAAACTGAATGCCTTTAACAGCATCCAAGTCACCTCTTGAATGTTTTGCTTAGAAATTTCTTCCACCAGATACCCTAAATCATCTCTCTCAAGTTCCAAGTTCCATAAATTTCTGGGGCAGGGGCAAAATACCACTAGTTTCTTTGCTAAAACATAACAAGGGTCACCTTTGCTCCAGTTCCCAAGAAGTTCCTCATCTCCATCTGAGACCATCTCAGCCAGGATTTCATTGTCCATATCATTATCAGTATTTTTGTCAAAGCCATTCAACAAGTCTCTAGGAAGTTGGAAACTTTCCCACATTTTCCTGTCTTCTTCTGAGCCCTCAAAGCTGTTCCAATCTCTGTCTGTTAGCTAGTTACAAAGTCACTTCCACATTTTCAGATATCTTTTCAGCAACACCCCACTCCTGGTACCAATTTACTATATTAGTCCATTTTCATGCTGCATTTCAAGATGCACCCAAGACTGGGAAGTAAAAGAGGTTTAATTGAACTTACAGTTCCATATGGCTGGAGAGACCTCAGAATCATGGCGGGAGATGAAAGATTCTTCTTACATGGCAGTGGCAAGAGAAAATGTAGAGGTGCAGAAGTGGAAATCCCTGATAAAACCATAAGATCTCATGAGACTTATTCACCACCAAGAGAACAGTATGATTCAAATTATTTCCCACCGGGTCCCTCTCACAACAGGTGGGAATTATGGGAATACAATTCAAGATGAGATTTGGGTGGAGACACAGAGCCAAACCACATAATCATCCAAACTCTCTGGGCTTTATCTCCCCATTTGTAAAGTGAGGGTTCTAATAGATCCTTCCTCAGAGGTGAAGTGAGGAGTGAAGTAGGCCATCAGCAAAACAATCACCACTAATGCTTGCATGGTGCGATCCATGTCCCATGCACTATCCTAAATTCATCCTATGCATTGACTTTCCTAATTCTCACAGCACCCCCATGAAGGAGGTATTGCAGTTACTTCCATTTCACAGAAAAGGAAACTGAAACACGAAAGTCAATGAACCAGCTTTCCGAGCTAGAAAGGGATGAAAATGGGATTGGACCCAGACTGTTTGACCTCACAGCCTGGATCTATAGCCACCAAGCTCTCCTGCCTCCATTAACCCCCATCATGTTGTTAGTTAATGGTAGTATGATTTATGAACCACACAGAAAGTCCAGAAATGTGGTTATCATACAGACAAATCCTAAGTGACCCAGGCTAAGGGGTGGTTGGAGCACCAGTGCAGAAGCTACAATCAGAGCTGGTTGAGGAGACACTGAGGGACTTGGCTCAATTCCATTGACCCCATGGCAGAAATGTGATGAAAGGTTCACTGGGGTCACCTTGAAGAGGGCCTGGGATCCCAGTCCTGGGACCTGTATGGCGGAGAGTGGAAAATACTTGTCAGGTCTAAGAAGTCAAAGACTGCAACAAAAGCAGGGCTTTGGGGAGATTCAAGAGGCAGTGAGATGCAGCTGCTTTGGGGAGTGAGGCAGGGTTGCACTATGGACAGTCTGCGGCTTGGGGCCTTGTCCTGCAGGAAGAAGCCAGATGGCATGGACCCTCTGGCTATCCTAAAGCACATGGACCCTTGTGCCTCCCAAGAGGAGCCAAGGCATACTTACTCCTCCATGATTCTCACTGGGGCCTGGGGCTCTCACTGGGGGTGGGGGGTCCTTGGAGTTGGTTGCCTAAGCTGCAGCAGGAATTGCTGATTGGCGAGGTGTAACAATTTATAACTGGCTCTTATAAGTGAGAGCAATACACAAAAGAGAGGGTCCTTCTGAGAGGCATGGTGGAGGCACACAGGAAGGGTTGGGCCTGGGCCCAAATTCATGTGTCAGAGCAGTGAATGCTGTATGTATCTAGTGCATGAAAAGAGCTGGGCATTTGTTGATAGACACTCAAAATTACTGACTAAGCAAGTGTAGATTTTCCTCTAAACCAGTGACATCCCTCATCCTCAAAATGCTGTTACATCTTCCTCCAGAATGTGAGAAACTTCTCCCTGCCCCCGGAAAACCAGGTCTGAGAGTCATTTCGTAACAACTGTAATTTCTATAGCTTCTCCTACTTATGCTAGAGTCAGGTTGTCCCCTAAATCATAGTGAGTGGGACCCCAGCCTCCACGGTGAGCAACATGCCCACAAAGACTAAAAATCTCTGGGAGAGAAGGCTGTGGGTACCTGAGTGTCAACAGCATACCCCGTGTGGTGGCAGTTGTCTGTCACAGCCTGCTAGTGCCACCAAAGCAACCCAAGGTCACAGAGAGTGGCAGGTATACAGAATTCCCACAGTGGAGGCAGGGCGGGCAGGCCCTCCAGCGAGACAAGCTGGCCACTTCCCCCGAGGGCAACTGACGACTGCACTCTGTCTCCCCAGATGGTCCCAGTCAGTCTGTGGAGAACTTCATTCCTCTGCCTCTCTCTTGAGGAAACTGCAATTTTCGGAACCTCCCCTGAAGGAGAGAAGGGGACTTCAGGGACATGAGAATTGACCCTGAGGAGTTGGCAGGAGGGAGTCCTTCCTGTTTACCTGCCCTAGTCCAGCCACTTCTTTGTTACCTTTAGGCTGCGGGGCCCCATTGCTGTTCTGTGAGATCGGCTGGATTGATTATGAACAGTTCCTTGCTACTCCACACCATCACCTCTCCACAGGACTCCTTCCTGGGTTGTGAGAAGGGGCTGAATGTGCTAACTACCTCTGCTCCCTACTAGAATGCTAGCCTCATGAGGGCTGGGATTTTTATCTGTTTGGTTCACTGTTGAACCCCTAAAATCTACAATAGTGCTTGGTACATAGTAGACGTGCAATGAACGTTCCTGGAAGGAATAATTATTGATATAAAGTAAAATTCCTGAAGTAGATTTCAGAGTTAATGGATCCTAGTGGCTGGGCCCGTAATCCCAGCACTTCGGGAGGCTGAGGCAGGCGGTTCAGTTGAGGTCAGGAGTTTGAGACCAGCCTGGCCAACATGGTGAAACCTTGTCTCTACTAAAAGTACAAAAATTAGCCAGACATGGTGGTGCATGCCTGTAATCCCAGCTACTGGGGAGGCTGAGGCAGGAGAATCGCTTGAACCCAGGAGGCAGAGGTTACAGTGAGCAGAGATCATACCACTGCACTCCAGCCTGGGTGAGAGAGAAAGACTCCATCTCAAAAAACAAAACAAAACAAAAACAAAAACAAACAAACAAACAAATGATAGTTAATGGATCTTGGGCCAGGCACAGTGACTCATGCCTGTAATCCCAGCATTTTGGGAGGCCAAGGCAAGAGGATTGCTTGAACCCAGGAGTTTGAGATCAGCCTGGGCAACACGGTGAGACCTCATCTCTACAAAAAATAAATAAAATTAGCTAGGTGTGGTGGCATGTGCCTGTGGTCCTAGCAACTTGGAAGGCTGAGGTGGGAGGATCACATATACTGAGATGTCAAGGCTGCAGTGAGTCAAGATCTCACCACTGCACTCCAGCCTGGTTGACAGAGCAAGACCCAGTCTCAAAAAACAGTGGGGGCCAATGCGGGGGAGTTAGTTATGAATCTTTAGACATTAAACAAAGTAACTGAAATGTAGGAAAAGGCGAGAATGACCCCCCGACCGATCAAAGCCCACTTGTGGCTGCATCCCGGGCCCAGTGTCTAAGACCTGCTGCTGTCACCGCCACCACCATGCCCAAGAGGAAGACCGAAGGGGATGCTAAAGGAGATAAAGCCAAGGTGAAGGACACACCACAGAGAAGATCCACGAGGTTGTCTGCTAAACCTGCTCCTCCAAAGCCAGAACCCAGGCCTAAAAAGGCCCCTGCCAAGAAGGGAGAGAAGGTACCCAAAGGGAAAAAGGGAAAAGCTGATGCTGGCAAGGAGGGAAATAACCCTGCAGAAAACGGAGATGCCAAAACAGACCAGGTCAGGAAAGCTGAAGGTGCTGGAGAGGCCAAGTGAAGTGTGTGCATTTTTGATAACTGTGTACTTCTGGTGACTGTACAGTTTGAAATACTATTTTTTATCAAGTTTTATAAAAATGCAGAATTTTGTTTTACTTTTTTTTTTTTTTTCCAGCTATGTTGTTAGCACACAGAACACTTCATTGCTGTTTTTTGGGGAAGGGGCATATGTCACTAATAGAATGTCTCCAAAGCTGGATTGATGTGGGGAAAACACTTTTCCCTTCTGGTTTTGGGAGACTTCCTCTTGGCTCCCAGGAGGAGGAATTCCCTGACTTTCATACACATGACCACCTTGGCACAAAAGCCTTAGGGTATGGAAAAACCAATTCATTTTTATGTCCTCTTCTCCCTGTCCATCTTTCAGCATAGACTTAACTCTCTTAAGCCTAGACATCTGTTGGGACCTGATCCCCAGTCATTTGTTACCAGTGCATCAGGCAATCTGGACTTTCCAGGGATGCCACTGAGAGGACACCTGTCTAAACAGCAGTGGTTCTGTTGCTAGATTGTGGCTCCTCAGATACATTCTGCAATTTTCATTTCACTTCCTGAAAGTCAGGGTCGGCTCGTGAAAAGTTATTAAACAACATGCTACATGTGAAACGTCGACTCTCACTCTAAACTTCCCCTGTTCAGAGCGTCAGATGAAAACTTCATTGTGTTTTATGGTGGCTTTCTGAGTTTTGGTAGTCCATTGAAGAAGGGAGTTTGAAAGTTGTTGTATACTGTTAATAATTGTCTGCCTATGTCCTGCCTGAAATACCATGATTGTTTATGGAAAGTATCTTTAATAAAGCTGGATACAGTTTGGATTGGAAAAAAAGGTAACTGAAATATATATATATATAGCTCTTAGAAATAAAAGGAAAATGTGACAAAATGATAAACATAATGAGACAGTTTTAAAAAATCCTCTCAGAGAAACTGATTGAGTAGACAAAACATAAATGAGAATGTAAAATGTTTGCATAATGAAAATTATAAGCTTAATCTAATAAATATACCTCTAGAACATTTATAAAGAGTGAGCATATACTAGGACACAAAGAAATCTCAGGAAATTCCAAAAAAGTAAGCCATGTTATTATTATTATACTTTAAGTTCTAGGGTACATGTGCACAACGTTCAGGTTCGTTACATGGGTATACATGTGCCATGTTGGTTTGCTGCACCCATCAACTCGTCATTTACATTAGGTATTTCTCCTAATGCTATCCCTCCCCCAACCCCCACCCCACGACAGGCTCTGGTGTGTGATGTTCCCCAACCTCTATCCATGTGTTCTCCTTGTTCAACTCACACTTATGAGTGAGAACATGTGGTGTTTAGTGTTCTGTCCTTGTGTTAGTTTGCTTGTAATTATGGTTTCCAGCTTCATCCATTTCCGTGCAAAGGACATGAACTCATCCTTTTTTATGGCTGCATAGTATTCCATGGCATATATGTGCTTTTTTTTTTAAACGCATTCTCGTTCTGTCGCACAGGTTGGAGTGCAGTGGCGCGATCTCGGCTCATTGCAAGCTCCGCCTCCCAAGCTCATGCCATTCTCCTGCCTCAGCCTGCTGAGTAGCTGGGACTACAGGCGCCCGCCACCACACCTGGCTAACTTTTTTGTATTTTTTTTAGTAGAGACGGAGTTTCACTCTGTTAGCCAGGATGGTCTCGATCTCCTGACCTCGTGATCTGCCCGCCTCAGCCTCCCAACGTGCTGGGATTACAGGCGTGAGCCACTGCGCCCGGCCGTGCCACATTTTCTTAATCCAGTCTATCTTTGATGGACATTTGAGTTGGTTCCAAGTCTTTTCTATTGTGAGTAGTGAAAGCAGGCCACGTTATTTAATACTTCCTCCTGATAACACAAAGCTAGAAAAACCCTAAAATAAAGAATAGGAAAACATACATAGAAAAATATATATACATACAAACATTTGTACGTGCAATTGAACCATGAACAACCTAAGGGTGAACAGCATGGTCCAGTTGTACGTGGATTTTTGTCAATAAATATTTTGAAAAAAATTTTGGAGATTTGCCACAATATAAAAAAACTTGCAGATGAATCATGTAGCCTAGAAATTTTTTTGAGATGGAGTCTTGCTCTATTGCCCAGGCTGGAGTGCAGTGGCGTGATCTCGGCTCACTGCAGCCTCTGCCACCCCAGGGTCAAGCAATTCTCATGCCTCAGACTCCCAAGTAACTGGGATTACGGGCATGCACCACCACCCCTGGCTAATTTTTTATTTTTTATTTTTAGTAGAGATGAAGTTTTGTCATGTTGGTCAGGCTGGTTTCAAACTCCTGACCTCAAGTGATCTGCCCGCCTCAGCCTCCCAAAGTGCAGGGATTACAGGAGTGAGCCACCATGCCCAGGTGCCTAGAAATATTTTTTATTTTATTTTTTGAGACAAAGTCTCACTCTGTCGCCCAGGCTGGAGTACAATGGCATGATCTCAGCTCACTGCAATGTCTGCCTCTCAAGTTCAAGTGATTTTCCTGCCTTAGACACCCAAGTAGCTGGGACTACAGGTGCCTGCCACCAACCCTGGTTAATTTTTGTATTTTTAGTAGAGATGGGGTTTCACTGTGTTGACCAGGCTGGTCGCAAACTCCTGACCTCAGGTGGCCCTCCTGCCTTGGCATCTCAAAGTGCTGGGATTACAGGCATGAGCCACCACATCTGGCTGAAATATTTTTTTAAAAATAAGAAAAAGTTAGGTCTGTCATGAATGCATAAAATATATGTAGATGCTAAATCAATTTTATCATTCACTAACATAAAATATATACAAATCTATTATAAGAAATTAACATTTATCAAAATGTATGCACATCAACACTTACAGCCCATACACGGTGCCATTTGCAGTTAAGAGAAATGTAAACAAACTTCAAGATGCAATATTAAATGAAAACTGCGTAAATTAACTGTGGCACATACTGTACTATTGTGGTAATTTTGTAGTCACCTCCTGTTGCTACCACGGTGAGCTCAAGTGTTTAAGTATCCACTTAAAACACTATGTGATGCTAATCGTCTCCTGTGAGCAGTTCCTCACTCCAGTAAATTGCATATGGCAGTAAAAACTGATTTAGTTCTCATGTATTTTTCATTTTCAGTGCACTATCATAAACCTTGAATAACATCATGGGATCCATATGCGATGTCACTAGTAAGTTTGAAAGTACTCCCAAAAAGCAGAGAAAAGTCGTGACATTCATTATCCAAAAAAGTTGAATTGCTTGATATGTGCCATTTATAAAGGTCTGCAGCTGTGGTTGTCTGCCACCCCAAGACAACTGAATCCTGCAAAGGACAATTGTAAAATAAAGAAAAGGAAATTTGTGAAGCCATCACTGTAGCCTCACCAGCAGGCACAAAAACCTTGCACTTTTTGCAAAATATCTTTTTAATCTCTTACTGAAAAATGCAGTTTTTATGTGGGTTCAGGATTGCCATAAGAAAGGCATACCTACAGACTTGAATATCATTTGAGAAAAAGCAAAATCCATTAATGACAACTCAAAGAAAAAGGAAGGTAAAGAATCTAAAGCAGGAGAATGTATTGCCAGGAAAGGATGGTTTGATAGTTTCAGAAAGAGGTGTGGCTTTTAAAATGTGCATGTGACAGGAGAAGCAGCTTCTGTCAACCAAGAGGCAGTAGACAAGTTTCCAGAAAATCATGCAAGAGAAAAGGTATCTTCCTAAACAGGTTTTTTTGTTGTTGTTTTTGTTTTGTTTTGTTTTCTGGGGTTTTTTTTTTTTTTTTGAGACAGCATCTCACTCTGTCACCCAGGCTAGAGGGCAGTGGCGTAATCTCGGCTCACTGCAGTATCCCCCTCCCAGGTTCAAGTGATTCTCGTGTCTCAACCTCCCAGGTAGCTGGGATTACAGGTGCGGCCACCACACCCTGCTAATTTTTGTATTTTTTGTTTAGACAGGATTTTGCCATGTTGCCCAGGCTGGTTTCGAACCCGTGGGCTCAAGCAATCCACCTGCTTTGGCTTCCCAAAGTACTGGGATTACAGGCATCAGCCACTGTGTCCAGGCTGAACAGATTTTTAATGTAAATGAAGTGTCCTACTCTGAGAGGGAGAAAATGCGACAAAGGACATTTGTTAGTAAAGAAGAAAAGCAAACACCAGAATTTAAAGCAGAAAGGGATAGACTAACTCTACTGTTTTGTGCAAATATAGTTGGGTTTATATGATCAGGACTGCCCTTATCCATAAAGCTGCTAACCCCTGATCCTTTAAGGGAAAAGGTAAACACCAGTTGCCAGTCTTTTGGTTGTACAATAAGATAAAGCATCCATTGATGCTTTATCCCTAAAGTCAGGAAGTACCTTGCTAATAAGGACTGCCTTTTAAAGTTCTTTTGAGGCCAGGCATGGTGGCTCTTGCCTATCATCCCACACTTTGGGATGCTGAGTAGGAAGAGGGCTTGAAGCCAGAGGTTTGAGACCATCCTGGGAAACAAAGAGAGAAAGCCCCATCTCTACCAAAATTTAAAAATTATCTGGGTACAGTGGCATGAACTTGTAGTCCCAGTTATTCGGGAGGCTGAGGTGGGAGGATCACTTGAGCCTAGGAGTTCAAGGCTGCAGTGAGCTGTAATCATGCCACTGCACTGCAGCCTGGGCAACAGAGTGAGACCTTGCCTCTAAAAAGTAATTAATTAAAAAATTTTTTTTAAAGTTGTTTATGATTTTCTGCTCTACAACGTGTGTAAGACAGCCTTATTAACTGGGGAATAAGCGACCTTATCACATCTCCTAAATAGAAAATAGGAGCACGTCTGACCTCATGCACTTTAATATTGCCTTCATTTTTTAAAAAAAGATTTATTCAACACTTCTGTGCTGGGACTAAGAAAAATCAGTCAAAATGTGCCCTTCACTCTTTCTTTCCACTGTACTCCAGCCTGGATGACAGAGCAAGACCCTGTCTCTAAAAATATATATATTTTTTACTTTTTTTTAAAGAAAAAAATGGGCAGGGTGTGGTGGCTCATGTCTGTAATCTCATCACTTTGGGAGGCCGAGGCAGGTGGATCACTTGAGGTCAGGAGTTTGTAGACCAGCCTGGCCAACATGGTGAAACCGCATCTCTACTAAAAATATAACAATTAGCCAGGCATAGTGGCATGTCCCTATAGTCCCAGCTACTCAGGAGGCTGAGGCAGGAAAATTGTTTGAACATGGGAGGCAGAGGTTGCAGTGAGCCGAGATGGCACTACTGCACTCCAGCCTGGGCGACAGAGCTAGGACTGCTAGGACTTTGTACTCCTATGAAGTTCCTGTAGTTTGTGTTCAACCTCTGCTGTTTTCAACAAACTAGCAAAAAGTTGCTAGCTATAAAGCCCTTAATAAAAGTGTGCTTGTTTTGAGACAGAAGGAACACTGAGGGAAGGAGAACCAATCCAGGGAGGAGAGAGTGTAGTGGCCGCCACAAGGGACAAGCAAGCACGAAGCTTTTGTTGATTCAGCAAGTATTTATTGAGGACCTGCTGTCTGACAGGCAGGCCTATGCTGGGTGTTGAGGGGCTAAAGGGGCACAGCAAGGCTCTTCCCTTGAGAAGCCACTGATGTCACCAGGTCACTCAAGGTAAGCCTGTTCGAAAGGGCTAAATCAAAGAACAAGGCAGGAAGTCCGCAAGGCCAACGGAAGGCCCCAGAGAACAAGTAGAGCTCAGAGGCTCCGAAGGCATCCAGGAGGAGAAGGAGGGTCAGTATTGGCGGGCAGGAGCAGCCCCTCAGCTCTGGCCTACCCTCAGGCCACACCATGGCCCATGGGCTTCTTGCACACCCACTGATAGGGGGTGTCACAGGTCATGTCATTCCACTTCTGCTGAATGTGGACACAGTCTTCAGTCTGCCCATTCTTGTGCCGCCAGTTGTCAGGCTGATTCCTTTCCCAAAACCTGGAGACAACGGGGTTTATTCTGTTGGATGAAGGAAGCGTCCCTTCCCCATGCTGTGGCTTAGGAAGCTGACGTGTGATGGGTCTAGGGAACTGACATGAGATGGGTCCTTCATCCGCTAGTGGCCCTAGGATGGGGACAGGGCTGGGAGATGGAGTACCCTGAGGGTGTCTGTGCTCAGGTTGCCCTTAGTTACTGAGGATCCAGGGACAGGGAGGGGTGTCTATGAAGCTGCAAGCTCCCACCCCAGAATTCACACTAATATGCCTTCTGAGGGGGCAGGATCCCTTGGAACCAGGCCTGAGTAGGGTAGGGAGAAAAAAAACAGAAAGACCCACTCATTGGCTGCATGCCAGCCTCAGGACGTGTCCTTTCCTAATGACCCTCTGTGTAGCAGTCCAGGTAAGAGCGATGACCATGCCTGTGTGTCCAAACACACACACATCACATACATAACACACACACACCTCGCATACCACATGCATTACACATGCCACATACATGGCACACACACCACACATACACCACATACACATCACACACATCACACACACATATACACACAACACTACCACTTACTGGGAAGGGACACACAGTGTGTAGCTAGGCCCACCAAAGACAGTGCCCAGGACAGTGCCAGATGGTGGCTAGACTCACGTTTTGTTCTGGGCGACGTTGAATGGTGTCCCGTCTGTCCAGCGCCAGGAGCCCTCTGTGCCCCTGTCAGTGAGACCGATCCAGTAGTATGCTTTACCTGTGACCTCTACCAGAAATGCCTGCAAAGAAAAGGCAGTGTCATTGTTTGCCCTTGTGTGTGGGGAGCCAGTTCTCCAGGCCGCCTGGAGAACCTGCTTATAGATGTACACATAATTATATATGCATATCAAAAACTGTAAACAGAATTTTAAAACACTTTTATCTCATTTGGAGAAAGTTAAGAGGTAAGATAAAACTATGTACTATAGAATTTTTTAGGATAGCTAAACTCAGGGTAAAACCAAAGGTAAACATTTCTACTTCTTTAGTAAATGGCTTATGTGAAACATCAAGCTCTCACTCATTTTTTTTTTTTTTTTTGTATGGATGGGTTTGTTTGATGAGGACTGTGATCCAATGATTGTTTAGCAGCAATGTTACCAAACTGTAAATTCTTTTATTAACAGGCATTATAAAGAGATAATACTAATCTTATTTAAAAACCATGAGTGCCACACTGGTGAATATACAGCTTATGAATAACTTAAAAAGTATTTCCCATTTTAGGCCGGGCGCAGTGTCTCCTGCCTGTAATCCCAGCACTTTGGGAGGCCGAGGTGGGTGGATCGCCCAAGGTCAGGAGTTCGAGAGCAGCTTGGCCAGCATGGTGAAACCCCTTCTCTACTAAAAATACAAAAATTAGCAGGGCATGATGGCAGTTACCTGTAACCCCAGCTACTAGGGAAGCTGAGGCAGGATAATCACTTGAATCCAGGAGGTGGAGGTTGCAGTGAGCCAAGATTGCACCATTGCACTCCAGCCTGGGCAACAGAGCAAGACTCTGTCTCAAAAAGAAAAAAAAAAGTATTTCCCATTTTAAAAGGCAAACACAGGATACAAAAACCTATACTAAACAAAGAAACTATAATATGGATACATGACTGATATGTCTAAAATGATATATACAGTACATAACTAATGTTAATTATGTGATCAGTACATTTTTCCATATGATTTCCTTCATGTTTCACTTTCCCCAGAACTTGAATTCTGTACTTCCTCTTCTAAAATTGGTACAGTCAGGTTATCCTTGGACATCAAATTATATTTCATCACATATTTAATAAACTGATGACACAAAAATGCTTAATTTTCATATTCATTAAACATCTGCTGATGATGGGAAATAAACATGTGAAAATATTCTGTAAATCTCACGGCATACTGATTTTGGTTGCACTACAGATGATTCCTTTATGCTAACCCTGCTGGAAAAATATTTATTGCTCTTCAGAAGACATGCAGCACCATTAAGTGTGTGTCTAGTATAGTCTACAGCAGGACACTCTTTTGGAGTTTTATGAGCTGCACAAAGAAAAATCCACTATTCAGTTGCTGTCATTTGAGTACAAGTATCTGGATGGCATTCACTCTGAAGTTTGACAGCAAGTCAAATTAGCTCAAGGCACAATTGCCTTAAATGTTCATACTTCCATACACATTCATCTTGGCCTTTAGGTGCTTCAAGAATTTTGTCAATATTGGAGTAATCTGCTCTTATGTTCTGTTAAATATACTGTTGAGCAGCTAGTGTATTGTCCATTTCATCAAAGGATTCATCAGGCCAATTCTAGATATCCTGTGCCTTGGTGCCCTGCCTGTTCTGCCTCAGCGCTGCCATCCCCTCTGCCATGACCACAGGGCCAGCGCCTCCCATAGCTTGTTAAGAAGATGTGGTTTACAAAGTTGCATGTTCTTTTTCAGATCAGTAACAGTGGTCTCAGGAGAGCCACAGGGGGTGGGCAGTTCTGCAAGTCAAATTGGACCACAAACACTGTGGTTCTTTGTTAGTAATCCTGGCAAGTTCTGATAAGGACCACGACAGATGAGCCACCTGGGACAGTATTGCATTTGGTGGTCCTCAGACTCAGAGTTGTGTGCCTGGTCTTCCCAAGAAGCCTGGGTCTCCTGTTCATGGGCCCTCTAAAGCAGCTGGATTAACTGACATTAAAATCAAGACAGGCCAGATGCAGTGGCTCACTCCCAGCACTTTGGGAGGCCCACGTGGGTGAATAACTTGAGCCCATGAGTTTGAGACCAGCCTAGGCAACATGGTGATACCCCATCTCTACAAAAAAATACTCCCAAAAAATAGCCGGATGTGGTGTCGTGCGCCTGTAGTCACAGCTACTCAGGGGAGCTGAGCTACTCAGAGGTCTGAGGTGGGAGGATTGCTTGAGCAAGGAGGTCAAGGTTGCAGTGAGCCATGATCAGGCTACTGCACTCCACCCTGGATGACAGAAAGAGACACTGTCTCCAAAAAAAAGGTGACTGGAAACAAGCCTGAGGGAAAACTAAATGTATGAGAAGGGAAATGTGCTCCTAGCACTTAAGGGCATCACCTGATGCCCTTGGCCTTCCTTCCTGCTGATGTCTCTTGACCTCTGGTATCTCCCTCATTCATGGAAGACATGGAGGTTTGCCATCAGTGGTTCTACCTCCAGTGCATGTGCTCATCAGAACTCAATCAATATTTGCTCCCTGCCTGGCAGAGGAGACATGGAGGTCTCTGTCATACCCGCTGAGAGCAGGAAGGTCAAAATACCACAGTCCCTTATTCCACACCAATTCCACCAATAATGCTCGTAACTCTGATCTGCTCCTCCTTGGAGGCCACAGATGCCAGGTGGGCTCCCTGGGACACACAGAACTGCTCAGCCTCATGCCAAGACTTCTTGACACGAGAAAAATAATATAAGCTTCCACCATTGAACTTCCAGGCTTGCAGGACCATCTGGAGAAGTTGACCTGGAGCAAAGACTGGGGAGAAAAGAGAACCAGGAACTGCTGGTGGGGGTCCCAGAGGGAACTTTTCTGACCTCTCTGGGGCCTGCCCACTGAGGTTCACAAGTTCATGCAAGTCTTGATGCCCAGTGCTCCAGGAGCAAGGCCTGGGGGGCTGCACTGCCGTCTCACTACCCAGCACTCCAGGAAGCAGCCCTCAAGACACCTGGCTTGGGCCCTCCTGGGAGGTTCAGGCAGCTCTCTTTTCCAGATACCTACTTCCTGGCTATACTGCCCTCTCTCCCAACTCATTGCCACCACCTGACAGTCCTCTCCACCCCAACTCCTGCCATATTCCCTGGGGATTTTACAGCTATCCCATAGCCTTACTCATTTCCTTGTCTTCATCTCCATCCACTTCCACTGCCACACCCATGGCCATCCTGGGACCTGGTCATCACCTGGTCTGCCTGGCCTTCCATTTTTCAAACTCTTACAGCTCATCCTGTGAGCACAAGCCCTGATTCTGTCAGCTCTTTCATCCCTCCTTGCCACAACAGCCTGCTCTTTGACATCATCTATGCCACAGCTGTTTGAAATGGTACCACACAAGTTCAATTAATCACCAAATTGTTCTTTTGTTCAACATGCATTGTGCAACGTTCCTTAACTTCTTCGAGCTAGCCACTGCCACACTGTACAAAGATCAATCAGACATGATTGATGCCCTTAAGGAACTTAGAGTCTAGTAAATGAGACAGATGGAGAAAAGGTGTTGAAGATGCATTGATTAAAAAACACATGCACAGTAGAATAGTCATGGAAGAAGGTATGGTCTGTTTCATCTGAGCAGGAGGTGGGGCTTATGAAGGACACCCTGGATGAGATGTTACTGGAGCTGAGTATTTTTTTGTTTTTTGAGACAGAGTTTTGCTATGGATGCCCCAGCTGGAGTGCAATGGCACGATCTCAGCTCACTGCAACTTCTGCCTCCCGGGTTCAAGCGATTCTCCTGCCTCAGCCTCCTGAGTGGCTGGGATTACAGGTGCCCACCACCGTGCCTGGCTCTGTGTTTGTGTTTTTTAGTAGAGATGGGATTTTGCCATGTTGGCCAGGCTGCTCTCAAACTCCTGGCCACAGGTGATCCGCCTGCCTTGGCCTCCCGAAGTGCTGGGATTACAGGTGTGAGCCACTGTGCCCAGCCTGGAGCTGAATCTTAAATGACTGAGGAAGAGTTTTCCAGGTGTTCAGTGTCAAGGAGAGCACCCCAGACTGGGAAAAGCATCAGCACAAAGGCATAAAGGTCTGTAACAGCCTGGCATGGCCTGATCTATTCAAGCTACTTGGTATTCTCGGGACATAAAGGATGGGTGAGCGATGAATTTGGACAGGTTCACCAACACTAAACGGTACATCCCATGTAAAAGAGTTTGGATTTTTTTCCCCCTATGAGCAATGGGAAGCACTGCAAGGTTTTGAGAAGGATGGTAATACGTCCAGATTTGCACTGGAAAAATGTCAACCTGGTGGAAGCTGAACCAGAAGAAGGCACTCTTGATCAGGCCAGAAACACCAATGATAACACAATGGCGAAAATCCCGGTAAGAGATGGGTGTAAATCAGGGGCTGGAGAAGTGTGGTCCCAGACCATCAGCATCACCTGACAACGTGGTGGAAATGCAAATTTTCAGGACCACCAAAGCCCTCCTGAATCCAAAATTATGTTTTAATAATTCAGCAAGTCCTCTGGTGGTTCTGATGCCCAGAACTAGTCGTCTAAACCAACAACTGGCAAACTTCAACCTGTCAGCAGTGTCTTTTAAATAAAGTTTATTGGAGCATAGCCATTCTCATTAGTTTACTGTCTTTTTCTTTTGCTTTATAATTCTGAACAGAGTTGAAAAGTTGTAACAGAGACTGTACAGCCCCAAAGCCTAAGATACATGTTTCTTTGCCCTTTAAGAAAAAAAATTAAGCTAATGGTTCTCAGCCGAGATGTCATTAGACCCACCTAGGGAGTTAAAAAAAAATCCTGATGCCAGATACCCTCACCAAAAAAAAAAAAAAAAAAAAAAAATCAGAGTTCTGGAGGTGGGTCCCCAGGTACCAGTATTTTCAAAGCTCCTTGGGCGATTCCAGGGGGCCCCAAAGTGGAGAAACACTGGTCTCACCTAAAGCAGCAGTGAGATCCGGGAGGAATAAGCATATTGGGGCACCAGGAGAGGTGTGAAGAAGGGGGACCTCTGACCCCAGACCAGGAACCAGGCAAAGCAGTAAAGTGGGAGGTCACTGCTGCCCACCAAGCCCTCATTTGCCAGCCCCCATTTCTTCAGTGGCTGCCCCAAACACTCCCTTCTGTCTCTCAGCTGCTCTCTTGTCCATAGGCCAGTCAAACAGAACTGGCTGAAGTTTCCAGAACCTCATGATTTTGTGTCTCCATGCCTGTAAACCTACTGCTCTCTTACCCTATTTGCTTGGCAAACACCTATTCATCCTTCAGGACGAAGTTCAAGAGCCATCTTCTCACAAAGCGTCTTTTGATCCTTTCCCCACAGATCTCTTCCCTCCCCCTAGAAGATTTCTTTTCTCTTCTTTTTGTTCTGCCCCCAACCCCAGTTCTCAGTACCTGCTTTTAACCTATCAGTCTTACACCTGTCTGTGTGTCTTTCATGCATGTCTGTACTACTAGCCTGTAAGCTTCTCAAGGGTACCTATTACACCTTATTCACTTTTTTACCCAGCACATCACAGGGCCTCAATAAAGCATCAGGTGAGGGCACGAATGCTGGGTACTTTGTTAAAGGCCTTACATGTGTGACCTCATTGGATCCTCACTGTGATGCAAATATTATTGTCTCCCCCTTGCAGATGAGAAAAGTGTAGCTCAGAGAACGTAAGTAACCTGCTCAAGATCATACCATTTGGGATAGCGGGAAGTTGGAAATAAGGCTGTGTGACCCACTAGCCCATGCTGTCCTTATCACACACGTGCACCATTTACAGTTGGTTTCCCGTGTTCATTTGGTCACTGTGACCAGGTTATAAGCAATGTGAGAGCAGGAATTTCCCATTGCACACTATCTCCACCACTGCCCAGGCTCCTCGGGCCCATTTCCCTGGATTTGGTCCGGGAGATGCATGTTGCGGTAGAAAAGAGGCTGATGAGACAGGAGACTCGACCCTCTCAAGAGACTGTGCCCTCCCCAGCGGGACTCTCCACTCCCACTTACTTTGGGTTTTTTGTAGCTGTTCCTGTGAAGCAACGACCTTGTGGAGGGTCTTCAGGCGACTCTGCTCCTGCTGGATTTCCATGGTTAGAGCTTTGGTGTTCTCTAGATCCCCTCTTAACCTCAGGATCTCAGCACTGGCCTTCTGCAGATTGCTGTCTAACATCTGGGTCTGGGAAGTTAAAGTCGAAGCATTCTTCATTTCTTGTTTTAGGGTCTGCATCTCTCTGCTGGCGTTCTTCATATGACCATTTAAGACCCGAATCTGGGCATTTAAGGTATTGGCCATCTCTGCCTTGAATACCTGAATCTGAGCATCTGTCTGGTCCAGACAGCCATTTGCTTTTTGGGTCTGGGCTGTGACCGTTTCCAAATCCCTTTTTAACATGTGAATTTCATCACCAGCCCTTTCCAAATGGCCTCTTAGGAACTGGATCTCAGCACTGGTGTTGTCGAAACTGCCTTTTATAAAGGCCTGGGTCTGGGAGTTTAAAGCATTTGTGTTCTGCAGATTTTCCTTTAGTCCCTGGATCTCAGCATTGGCTCCTTCCAAACTACTTCTTAAAACCTGGCTCTGGGTCCTCAAGTCATTGACCCTATCTAGATGGCCTCTCGAAACATGGATCTCAGCATTAGCGTTCTTTAAACTGCTATTGGCTAACCGAGCCTGGGCATTTGCCATTTCCAAACTGGCATTCAACATCTGAATTTCAGAGTTTGCATTTTCTAAGCCTCTGCTTAGCATGTGGAGCTCAATGCTGGTGTTTTCTAAACTGCTTTTTAAGAAATTCTGGGTCTGGAAAGTTAAAGCATCTGCCTTTTCCAGGCCTCCCTTGAGCCTCTGGATCTCAGCATTGGTTCCCTCCAGGGAACTCCTTAACATCTGGGTCTGCAAACTCAGTGTAGTGGCATCCTTTAGAACTCCTTTTACCATCTGGATGTCAGCACTGGTGTTTCCCAGATGATCATCGAGCACCTGGAGCTGCAAATTGACATTGTCCACTCTGCACCTCAACATCTGGATCTCTGCTACCCAGGCGCTGGAATTCTCCATGTGGCCTTTTAATATCTGGATAAGCTCTTGCATTTCTGCCTCCCTGCCAAAGTGGTGATGATCTGGAGGGAGGAAGTGAAGAAGGCAGCCAAAGAGGCCCATTATGTAGGGTAGCGTTGTATGGGCCAACCAGAGTGTTCTTAACATTTCCAAGTGAAATGGGTACTGCACAGCTCCGCCAAGCACCCTGCTGGTCACACAGCCACCCAGACCCTGGGGATGGTCCACCTGAGAATGTGGGCCAAGAAACAAAGATCTAATTAACTGTTACACACAAATGATGGGGTCAGAAGGATTGAAATGCTTGCCTGCTGTAAGCCAGCTGCCACCAGGAGTCATGCTGGTAAGGCTTGGATTATTTTGTCATTATAATTGCTCAACTTGAAAGTAACCGATTATATCATTTAGAGCTGTTGAAGTTTAATTTTACTGAAATTTGACCATAGATGGGTTGTTATGGGAAAGAAAATAGATATGAATAAAGCCTATGGTTAGTCCTACAATATGTTTGCACACCAAGCATAGAGGCTCTTGATTCACCATTGTTACATGCTAAAAACCACTGCAAACATAAGTTTTACGATGGCAAATTCCATGGAGAAGAAAACACAAAGGAAAGAAATAGAAACAAAACAAAATAGTTGCCCTGGGAGGAAGTACCCTGTTCAACCCACAGGGTTATGATAGAGGCATGCCATGCCCTCCAGGTAACTAACACTGGACCTCAGCTGAAACAGCCTTTTAAAGAGCCAGCACCCCCAGTGTTACATAGGGCAAGGGTCCCTACAGAACAGTTTGCAGATACAGGAAACCTGAGTAAAAGGCCTTGTGCTGGGGTCACTGGAGGAGACTCCGCAGCCCCCTTTAATCTGCAAGGTCTTTCTCACCAACCTCATGTGCATCTACCTCTGGTCCTGCTGGCTTCCTTTATTCACCTCACGAACTAGGACCTAATCTCATACATCCATGATCCCCTTCTGATTCCAATCTCCCCTCAGGAATAGGGAGAAAAACTCAAGTTGGCAGGGACCCTTTCTGGAGCATCCATTCTCTATTTCTCATGCACTGCTTATGTAAATGTGTGAGACCTCAGTCACTGTGCTAAGGTAAGAGAAGAGACCTTTCAAGGTACTGGAAGTTCAGTCAAAGATTCTGCTTTGTAAAGACAGACAAATAAATCAATGTAACAGAATGGAGAATCCAGAAGTAGACCCCCACACATATGGACAATTGATTTTCAACCAAGGTGCAAAGGCAACTCATGGAGAAAGATAACTTGTTCAACAAATGGTGCTGGAACAATCCATTTCACACCATTATACAATAATTAACTCAAATGAGGCAGAGACCTAAATGTAATCCTAAAAACTGTACCATTTCCAGAAACAAAGGAGAACATCTTTGTAGCCTTGGATTAGGCTTTCTCACATATAAGACCATGAGAATAATCCATAACAGAAATAAAATGATAAATTAGACTTTATCAAAATTAAAATCTTATTAAGAGAATGAAAAGACAAGTCACAGACCGAGAGAAAATATTTGCAAATTACATGACTAATAAAGAACAAAGAGTACATACTCTATGATCCCTTTTCTATAAAACGCTAGAAAAAGCAAACTAATCTGTAGTTACAGTATGTAGATCTGTGGCTGCCCAGGGATGAGGGGAGGAAGGGAGAGGAAGGAATTACAGAGAGCCACAAGGAAACTCTGGGGTGAGGAGGATGACTATGTGGTGATGATTGTGGTGATGGTTTCAGGGGCACATACATATATCAAAACTTATCAGATTGTATGCTTTAAATATGTACACCATTAGGCCGCAATAAAACTGTGTTTTTTAAAAATTATCTCTTTCTGTGAGGATGGTGGAACCCAGTCAGTGGTCTGGGAGTACTGGGGGAGAAGTTCATCCTAGGGTCTGAGCATCTGAGGGTCCCGGCTCCCTCCGCACCCCACCCCCACTGTGGCTACTCACTGTTGGGTTCAAAAGGTAAATGCCCAGTAATGTTGTCTCCCAGAATCATGGCTTGCACAGGCTTCGGCACAGGTCTTGTGTGCTGTTGAACTGAAACATTCCATTTTCCCAGGTCAGCAAATCCCCAGCCCTGAGACTGGGAGGATACACCGTCCCATACACAAGTAGGGTTCCAGAACCGGGAAGATAGCAGCAAAGACCCTCCGTCATGAACCTCAGTTTTTGGGATGCTCCCTTTTGGACAGTGGCCTCTATCTGGTCCCAGGAAAGCTGTGGCTTGGGCCTGGAGCTGGAGGTAGAACGATCTTTCTGGGAGCAGAGAGGCCCAGAGAGGTGCATCTGGGGCCCTTGGAACTCTGTGCTGAAAGGAGAGAGAGTCAGTGAGATTTGGGTCACCTGGGGGCTTACCCACTACAAAGAGAGTCACAAGAGAGAAGACCAAGGTCACAGCCATAAATGCTGGAGTAGCCTGAATGAGCCTTGGTATCTTGGGGGCTGCAGAAGCCGTTGCCACAGAGTCCACCCCTGTAGGGGAGAAGCCAGTGTCCAAGGTGAGAGGGTGCTGTGCAGGCTGAGACACAGTCAGACTATCTGGTTCCATTTCCTGGGTTGTCTAACGGGGATGAGAACCCCTGCCATGCTTATCATACAAGTGGTTATGGAGAAGGAAGATGAAACACTCTGGACTGTTCACCAGAACGAGGTGTGGGCATGGTAGCAACACAGAGGCGAGGGGCTCTGAGACCGAGACCACTGCTCTCCAAATCTCAAGGAGGCTTTGGTGGTGCACAAGGCACAGAACCTGGCACAGGGCACAGAGCAACAAAAGTGTAGTTTAAATGAAACAAGAAAGGAAGGGAGGGAGGCCTCACAGGACCGGCTCAGTGTGCAGAGCCAGGATTCTGAATTCAAAGTTCATTCCCTTTCTCTTGACAGGTCTGCATCCCCAAGGACAAGGGTCTGGGGAGAGCAATAGGACATCGATAAGCTGCCTTATGGCAGAGGGCCAAAGGACAGGCAGGCTAATCCCTCACTGGGCATGAGCTGGGGCCCCAGTTTTCTCACCTCGGGGGTGCAAGGAGACACACTGGTTATCTGTGCAGAAGCGGACTGCCTCACCATCCATCTCTGCTTCCTTGATCCTCCAGCACTGCTCCCAGCCACTGGCTCCTGGAAGGGCCGTTCCGCAGACCAATGGCAGTGGAAGCAAAGCTAAGACACTCACACTTCTATGCTCTTGACAGAGGTCCTGACCACCCTCCCAGCTCTTCCTCCCTCCCCGCCTGACTGCAGAAACCCGCCCCAGTGGGCCCCTCCCCTAGAGGCTCCCAGACACCCATCTGCTCTATTTTCTTCCTCTTCCCATTAGCACTTTCCCGTCAGTTCTCAGCCCCATCATCCCAACCTCTGCCGCATCCAGCATAACCCCAAACACACCTCTTCTTCTCTGGAGGCTGGGACTGGCCACCTAGGAAGGGGGTCTCAGCTTTGTATAGAAAACATCCTTATGACTATGGCTGACCTTTAATTCTAGCCCCAGAACCTCTTAAGTAAAAGGAGTCAGGTAAAGGAGGGGCCAGGTCAGTGCAGCCGATATTTGCAGGTCAAAGGAGGAGGTGGGGTGGCCAGCCACTTGGGGCCTCACAACTGAATTATAGTATACAGGAGGATGTGTGGAGGTTATATAAAAATACCACATGATTTTGTACAAAGGACTTGAACATCTGTGGACTTTGGTACCCGTGGGGGTCCTGGAACCAATCCCCTGCAAATACCAAGGTACAACTCTGTAAAAATGTGTTTGGTCTTCATCTCAGTTCCTGACACAGAACTCCTAAAACCCTTAGAGTTTTCTGGGTGACAGGAGTGTCTTTTGTTATTCATAATAAGCCCCTTAGGACTATCCTTGGGTTTATGCTAACGAGGTGACACAGGGTGGACCCTTAGATAATTTCAGGCTGGAGGCTGGTCCCAGAAAGACCAAACATGGGATTAGACTTTGGAAGATTGGGACTTTCAGCCACCCACTCCCATTCCTTACTCCCAGACCTCCAGGTACAGGAGACGGCCTGGGGTCTGGGCTATATAGACTCTTGAAAAACGAGACTCAAGGAGCTTTGGGATTGGTGGTCCACATGCCAGGAGGGTGTCGTGCCCTGACTCCACAGAGACAGAGTCTCCTGCACTTGGGACCCCACTGGGCCTTGCCTTGTGTACCTCTTCATCAGGCTGTTTTTGTCCTTTACAAGAAATGAATAGTAAGTATAGTGCTTTTCTGAGTTCTGTGAATTGTTCTAGTGAATTATGAAAACCGAGAGGTGGTTGCAGAAACCCCTGAATTTTCTGTTTGAGACAGGGTCTCCCTCTGTCACTCAGGCTGGAGTGCAATGGTGCAATCATAGGTCAGTGCAGCCTTGAACTCCTGGACACAAGTGATCCTCAGTTCTCAGTCCCATCATCCCAGCCTCTGCCACATCCAGCGTAACTCCAGCATAACTGGGACTACACGTGTGTGCCAGCATGCCTGGCTACTTTTTTATTTTTATTTTTTTGTAGAGATGGGATCTCTCTTTATTCCGCCAGGCCGGTCTGGAACTCCTGGCTTCAAGTGATCCTCCCACCTCAGCCTCCCAAAGTGCTGGGACTACAGGCATGAGCCACCTTGCCTAGCCAGAACCCCCAAATTTGTAGTTGACCAGGCAGAAGTGGGGGTCACTACCTCACTTGTAGCTGGCATCTGAAGGGGGGCAGTCTTGTGGGACTGAGGCCTTTCCCTGTGAGATCTGTGCTAATTCTGGAATTTTGTGGCAGAATCTGTTTGAATTGTTGGATGCCCAGCGGGTGTCAGAGAATTGGCTGGTGTCAGGAAAAAGCACACATTTCATGTCAGAAGTAGTGTCAGAAAATACCAAGCAGGCCCCAACTTTAGCTGATTGGATCCATGCCTCCTGAGGTGACCAGGTTCTCAAGACTAACTGAAAAGAATCTGATGGAGCAGGCTGGGGCCAATGTGCAGCTTTCAATGAGCCCTGTCCCTTCCAGGAGGAACAGATACTGCTTCAGAGGGTTCCTGCTACCGGGTGGGCCTAGCATTAGAAGAGAAGGCATGAGGCAACCCAGTGGACAGTGCCATGGAGCTGTGCAAGCCTGATGTCCCTGTCCCCACCACAGGGGTAACCAGCTGAACAGAACCAATATTCCCATGGCTGGTCAAGGAACTCCTCTAAAAGTCAGTGTTGGGGTTACCAGCAGATTCTTGTTCTTTGGTTGCCTCTTGTCTCCATTACTTCAAACGGGCACAATCGTTTTGAAATAAATCACATTTTCTTTCACTTTGGGAAGTCTAATTACATTTTACACCATTATAGCAACTCTTAAACAAACTCACTTACAACCTTGCAAATGACTTGTTCCATCCGTGTTGTGTTGTTTCTTTGCTACTTTCACCCTCTGTTCCCATGTCCCATTCTCATGTCTTCTGCACAGATCCTGGGGTCAGCCTCTCATAGGTCCCCAGCTGCACTAACAACATTGCAGACCAACCACAATGGTGGAGAAGCCACATGGAACGTGCCTCCTCTGGGGCCGGGCCAGGAAAACAGCTTCAGCCCAGGAGGAGCCTGTGCCATGTGTGACTGATGCCAGCCCAGCAAGCAAGTTGCCCCGTGGGCAGGGCATCTGCAGGCAGGAAGGGAGCGGTTGCCCACACCCAGTTCATGATGGGGTGTGTGTGTGTGTGTCTGTGTGTGTATTTTGAACTGCGCACTATAGGGGCCCAATGTGTAGAGTGCAGAGGTACCATCTGCTGCCTTTTACCTCCTGTTTGATGAAAACTGACCTTAGAGGGGAGGGCACAGCAGGAATGAAGGGTGAAGGCATCCATTTCTGGACTATCAGCAGCTCTGCCTGAAACCCCAGTGGTGTCTGCCAAACTCCTTCTCCACCACATGGAAAGGGGATGGGAGCTGCTGGAGGTGCCTCCCCAGAGGCCCATCAGACAGCCAGGGGTCGTGGCTGAAAAGAAATGGCTTGTCTTGGTTTACGTTTCCCCATACACAGGAAAGGCCCAGGCTGGACCTACTCAGGTCCTATTTCCTCCTGGGGCCTGAGAGTTGAGGGAACCTCGAAGGCAGAACTCTGCGGATCCCTTGCTCAGCTGGGAGGTCAGAGTCTGGGCCAGGAGAGGGGCACAGTTCTTCCCTGGCCTCCCCACCCACCCTCTGGGCCCTAGCTCTTATATTTCCCACAGGAACTCCATCTACCATCAGGTGAGAAAAACCAGGGGGTTGCTATGTCTTCACTGAGAGGCTCTCTGTTCTCTGGCCAGACAAAAACAAATGGGCATTAATACCAGAACTGGCCAGGCATGGTTGCTCATGCCTGTAATCCCAGCACTTTATGAGGCCGAGGCAGGTGGATCACTTGAGGCCAGGAGTTCGAGACCAGCCTAGCCAACATGATGAAACCCCTGTCTCTATTAAAAATACAAAAACTAGCAGGGCGTGGTGGAGGGTGCCTGTAATCCCAGCTATGTGGGAGGCTGAGGCAGGAGAATCGTTTGAACCCGGGAGGCGGAGGTTGCAGTGAGCCGAGATTACGCCACTGCACTACAGCCTGGACGACAGAGGAAGACTCCGTCTCAGAAAGAAAGAAAGAAGGAAGGAAGGAAGGAAGGAAGGAAGGAAGGAAGGAAGGAAGGAAGGAAGGAAGGGGAGAGAGAGAAAGAGTCTACCTGGCTCTAAAGCCAAACCAGAGAGGGCCAGAGCCAGGAGAGGGAGAGAGGCTGATTCCTTTTTTTTTTTTTTTTTTAATCCAGGCCATTTTATTTAATAGTAGGGACAGCTTCTTGACATGATGTGAGCACTTGTATTCATCAGTACAAAGTGTACACCCCACAAAATATAGCAACAACAATTCATCACATTTACAGGCCTGAATGCAAACCACCATCTCACCTGGCTTTTATTCCATCCATCTCCTAACTGTTGTCCCTGCCTCTCCTCTTACCTACTCTCAAGTCCTGTCATCACGGTGCAAGCATAATGATCTTTACAAAAAAATTAGGTGTACACACAAATATTACTTAGCTCTCAGCTGGGAGAGGCAATGACGTTCTAATAGCAACAGCCACACAGCACCCAGGTTTTGGTTTCTAACACCATTCTCCAGAAAAAAGAAACCAGGGCTCATTAGAGAAATGGCTGACTCTAGAACTGCAGCAGGAAATACACAAGCTGAGCCTGGAGCATCTTGTAGTACCAGAAAGTAAGGAGATGCTTTGTTACAAAAAAAAAAGTGATGGAAGTATGTCAAATGACACAGGAACCAATGAAGGAGCTCCCAATGGTCAGAGCCAGAACAATTTGAGAAAAACAAAAACAAAAACAAATAAATTAGCACTGGATTATAACCCAAAGTGTAAAAGTAATATCTGTGAGTCCATACTGACATAAATGAATGTCTGAGTAAGTAAATAAATAGATAAATCTCGCGCAGAAAATGTCCAAATGTTTTATGTAAATATTCCAGTCTGAGAAAAGTAGAGCGTAACTTCCTACTCTTTCAGTGTGAGCTCCATATAGTGACTTCCTTCCAAAAAGTTCAGTATAGGAAAAGGGAGAAAAGAGTAACTCTGGAGTCAATAAACTTGGCAAACACTACCAGAGCCTGGAGAGCAAGGTCAACACCAACAGTAATGAATTCTATTGATGGTATGTACCCTTGATAGGATGTGATAAGAATTGCCCTTTATCTCCATGGGCTTCCTCCTGAAACTCGGTACCCCAGTCTAATCATGAGAAAAACACCAGACAAATTTCATTTAAGGGACAATCTACAAAGTACCTGACCAGTGGGCTCCTCAAGGTCATCAAAAACAAGGAAAGTCTGAGAAAATGTCACAGCCAAAAGGATCCCAAGGAGACATGATGACTAAATATAACGTGGTATTCTGGATGGGATCCTAGGAGAGAAAAAGGCTGTTAGGGGAAAAGCAAGGAAATCTGAATAAAGTATGGACTTCAGTTAAACATTGGTTCATTAATTGTGACAAATGTACCATACTAATATAAGATGTTAACAATAGAGGAAATGGGAAAGGGTGGGTATATAGAAACTCTCTGTATTATCTTCACAATTTTTCTGTAAAGCTAAAACTATTCTATAATGCAAAGGTTTAAAAAAAATTTTAGAGACAG